CCCTCTAGCGCCTCAACGGTTTGAGCTAGAGCAAAACGGACGAAATTTTCGCCCGTAGGGCTCTACTTTGATGGGTTACCCCTTAGAAAACCATATTTTTTTTTTTAAAAAAAAACGTCATTTTTGGGACCTGTTGTTTTTGATTTTTTAAAAATCCAGTTTTTGAGCTAGAATGCTCATCTTGGAACTCGACCTGTCTTTTTATGGTACAAAACGACCCTGAAAATCCCAGGTCGCTAGCTCAACTCGTTTTCGAGTTATCGTGCGGACAGACAGACAGACAGACGTGCAGACAGACAGACAGACAGACAAAGTTTTTTTCGACCAGACGGAGTAATAGGCTTCGCTAATCGCTCAGCCAACCAATATTCAACTCCATTTTCATCAATTTTTTCACACGACCACCTATTATCCCTTGTAAGAAAAACTATCACTTTTGTCCTGGATCTAACTTAAGAAGCCTTGAAACACATTTCACATGGGAAAGCCTCTGATCTTCACCCACTTTCATCTCAACAGTACCATCAAACTTCTACAAGTTAGCCAGGCAAATTATCTATTTTAAAAAATCAAAATCTAGAAAGTTTGATAGTTTTAAGAATTGACTTCTCTCTATTTTAAAAGATACAACCAAATCCCTGTGACAATTTGTAGCCCCGGTGATAATAATTCTAAAAAGCTATTGTCCAAATTTACAAGTAAATTTGTCGGGTAAATCATGCGCGCAAACCTTTTAACTAAAGAACATGCCTTTTCTACCATAAGGATGAGTCAATCTGACTAAACAAATTTTAATTTAGTTCTAAATACCTACAAGCAAACTATATAAGCACTGTAATAGATCATTTTCAGCTATGAAGGGCCTCAAATCTTTTTTGAATATTTCTAAATAAGTGCTCAACCTCTTTTTTGCCAACTGACCCCCTAAAACTGATGTAGATTGTAGGGATTTTTTTGAAGAAACGGGCTAAGATATGAATCACTAGGGATGTGAAATCCCTTTTTATTGAACTGACAAAATAAAACTTAAAAATTCTTGTCCAAGCACATTTTGGTGTTACATAATAACATGAGTATCACATGAAAACAGAACTTAGTATTGGCATTAAATACTCAAACATGGACCTTACCGAAACACTGCAAAAGTTTGTTTTAATAGAAGCTTCACAAACGAGGAACAAAACCAACACTCAACACTTAGCAAATGCTCTGTCATAAGAAGCCACAGGTAACAATCACTACAAATGAAATAAGATAAACTAGGTAGATGTACGCCAGACCACGTCTCGCGTAACAGGCTTCGCGATATCTCACGAAACACTGTTCCGCTGCGACGCGCCTGGCATACATCTACCTAGGCCTGCGGCGCTGACACCCGAGTCGGTTTATAGGCACGGTCGTAAATAGGCCTTCGGCCTTCGGCCCCAAAAGTCACAAATCCTGCACCCCAAGGATTCATTTTGACGAGTTGACCCATCAGAGACCATGAAATATCTGAAAAAAAAACATTGAAATGGTTTGGGGTCATTTCCGTGTGGAAAACTCCCTCTGGCGCCTCAACGGTTAGAGATAGAGCCAAACGGACGAAATTTTCGCCCTAAGGACTCTACTTTGATGCATTACCCCTTAGGACTCAGTAAAAAAATGTTTTTAAAAAACGTCATTTTGAGTACCTGTGGTTTCGGATTTTTTTAAAATCCAATTTTTGAGCTAGAATGCTCATCTTCGAACTCGATCTGTCTTTTTATACCACAAAACGACCCTGAAAATCCCAGGTCGCTAGCTCAATTCGTTCTCGAGTTATCGTGACGACAGACAAACACACACACAGACAGACAGACGCGAAACTTTTTGATCATCAGTGGAGTAATAGGCTTCGCTAATCGCTCAGCCAATAACTGAGTTTGCATGAAAGTACCGTATATTAAAACTAGCAGGCCTGCCCTTCCGCCAAACGAAGTTGCCAGCTCCGCTTCGCTCCGCCAGCAACTCCGTTCGGCAGGGGCCGGGCCTGCTTGGCCTGCCGGCGGCGATGGTCGGGCCTGTGGCCCGACCATTTCTGTCACGCGGTCTGCTGAAGAACATAATCGCATGATGTAGCGGGCCTTCGGCCCGCTTAAACCCGTCGTCTTTGAGTTTGCCCCGAAGACTCGAGAAAGGGATGTTACGGTAAAGCACCGTGACTTCAACCCACCCTTCTGCTTAAGGTGCCCCCACAGTGAGCGGGAGGCGAAGCTGGGTAGGCGATGCCGTGTGCCAGGCCGTGCTGGTAAGCCGTGCCGGCGGGTGCAGTTAGTTCCTCCGACCTTTTTTTCTCCGACCCCGGTATAATCGCGGAACCCCCAAAAAGGTAAAAAAATTTCTCCGACCTGGGTTTTCTCCGACCTATTTTTTCTCCGACCTCGAAATTCCGGAAATCCCCGTGCCTTCTAACAGAACATAGCGCATAAGGCCACATCGTTACAAAGACAACTGCGCGACTACTCCGCGCTCCGGCTCCGGCGACGGGGCAAGAGCGCTCCTGGCTGAAGCCAACATGACAGCTCCAGGTTTAAATCGTTGAAAAAACACATTGACGAATTCTCATACTGCCTCCCCCTACCACAGGCGGCTTCGGGGGTGAGGCGGGCTGTTGGGGGAAGCGGGGGATGTTGGCGCATGCGCAGACGGCTCCCGCGCGGTCTAAATATGAGAAAATCACTGAGACGCGACACCTTACGATGTAAACCTTTGGCGCGGCACGGCACGGCTCGGTAGGGTCGTGTTGGCTTCACCGCTCAGCATGGGCTGGGATAGGCGATGCCCCATCTAGAGTCCATTCCCTAAATTTTGTCCACCGGCTCGGCCTTTGCTTTCCGAGGTCTAATGTGAGCGTCATTACGATGCGTGAAGACCTGCCGCTGGATGGGTCCCGGCCCTTTGCTAGACCTGCCAATGCCAATGGCAGCCGGCGACCGGCGTGGCGCGTCTCGCTGGGGCAGCGTACGGAGGCGGACGGATGTCTCGGCAGGTCTAGGCAAGGGATGCGACCCTTTTAATGAGCGTAACCATGCCGTTTATGACTGCAACAAAGCAAGCGGAGCGATTGTTTCCAATTCCTTTGCCGAGCCGGTGGACAAAATTTAGGGAATGGACTCTATCTACGGCGACAGACGGACACCGGCCGCCCCGTTGCCGCTGTGCACAAGGGCGGGGGCGGGGGGCACCGACTGCACTGCCGGGCCGGCGGGGCGCGCCAGAGGGCTGGAGGGCTCGGTCTGCCTGGCCTCCTGGGCCGCAGCCCCGGGCAGCAGTCTTCCGCCGTGGTGGCGCGTGCCTGCCGGTGACGGGCGAAGTGACGGGTATTGAGACGAGCCGTAGGCATCGGCTGCATCGACCATTCACAAGTGTTCAACTACCTGGCAGCTGGAAATTTCCAGGACCGGGTCGCACTCATGCGGTATGCGGTTCACTGAAAATTGAAACAGTTTCAAGTTTTAGGTTGAGCGATTGAACAATTGAACACCAACTGTTGCCTGCAAATAGGGACTGTAGTTTTTAAGCACCCACCAGTGCTTTGCTTTGAACCCTGTTATACAGGGTGGTCCACAGACCCCTTCCTTTATTTTGCTCATACTGTACCGCATGCAGGCGTGCGGGTGGGCTTGCCTACCGTCGCTCTCCGCAGCGCCTTATGGCCCCGTGCGAGTATGCAACCCGGCCGCACGCCTGCATCCGGTACAGTATAAGCAAAATAAAGGAAGGGGTCTGTGGACCACCCTGTATAGAAGTGCAGTGGAGGAGACAGAGGGCATTCCCTATCTGGGAAGGGGCGTTGTCGTTAACCTTCATAAGTTGTATTTAGATAGTACGAGTACTCGCGCCTGTGTGGTAGACTGCCGATTCACATCCGTGTCGATTGAGTTGCCTACTACTCCATTTGTTTTGCACGACGCTATTGAAAACATTCTTTGATAACCCAAATTTATTTTATGTTTTGTCTGATTGCACGCACGTCGCTTTTCCTGTGGCTGGAGGAGTGCTGGTGGAGTTTACCGCACTCTGATGGAGAGATGCACCCTGTTCCATGCAGTTGCCGAAGTAGTTGCTGAAGCCTGCCCTTTTGGGTTGGGAAAAGTGCTTTGTGGAGGGCCCGGAGGAGCGTTCTCTTTTGAACACAACTTACGACGACGACGACGACGACGACAACAACAGTAACCATTCTTGTGTAACTATCCAAACCAATCGAACCTAGTTATTTTCAGTCATTAATGCAGTATTACAAGGCAGTCAGGGATCTCCATCAATGTGCGACACACGCGATACTCGGTAAGTAGGCTACGAGATGGAGTGCGTGCGTAGTCAGTGCACTACTTAAGGTAGGACCCTAGTGAAAAAGTGAAAATCGGTCCAGGGGCTCGTAGACCAAAAACTCGACCTTGAAGTTGTAGAACAGAACTCTCTGATGAAAACAAGATGTGAACGAAATTTTTCCGTCAGAATTTGAGACTCGTGGAACTTTTCCCGTACGGGTCTCAGGCCTCTACGGAAAAAGTTCCAGGTGTCTCAAATTTTGACGGAAAA